TCTATTTTTTCGACTTCGACAGTTCATTCGATCCACACAACATGTTATTTCTCAAAGATTCGAAAATCAGAAACATAATAAACTTTCGGAAACGCATTTGAGCTGGTGAAAGAGTAATGAACAAGAAGTAAGTAGGATGATGAAAATCACTGAAAAATTTGAGTAAGACGGAAAGAGAAAAGAGCCAAATACTAAAGGAGACTTTATGAGGGAAATTCTCTTTAACGTGATGGAAGTTTATTTTGAAATCACCGCTGAAATCGTGTGTAATAGGACAATGAAGTGATGGATACGTACGTGAAGCCAACGCTTACGCGAAGCAAAGTCAAAAATGAGCAACACAGAACATTTTGCAGCTCACTGGAAGAAATCCGAAACTTGGTGAAACCACGAGAGTAAGTTTTGGCCTAGTATTGTAGGCGCCGCTGGAGAAATTACCGTGACTTGTAGTGTACCTTCAGCACAAAACGGTGGATGCAAATATGATTGCTGCAGACGTACCTATACACTACTGGCAGTACCGAAGTACATGGAGGTTCTATTGCCCGGGAGGTAGATGTTGAAGAGTACAGAACTAGTGGCAGGAGAAAGAACGAGGAAAAAGGGGGGATCAGAATCGCCTTTGTAGAAGAGAAAAAACATGAAAAGTGGGGGACAAAATTCAGCGGCTAGGCAGTTTGCGCACACGGGAACAAATTTGGCAAAAACGACGGACGCAAAGTATAGCTCGAATATGCAAAATTAACGAAAAGAGCACTAAAACCATTTGTGAGGGGCTAAACCGCTTTCAGAAGGGAAGAATTTTGGATAAGGAATACGATGTTCAGCACTATTCGGGAAACTCATGCCTAACTTTATTAGCCGTAGCTTTTTTGAGGGGCCCCATGTTGTCGAACAGGCCTGGCATCTTTTCCACAGTCAAAACGAGTGGATTCATTTAACAGTCTTGTCAACCGATCGTAATCATATGTTATCGCCTATAAAAATTGCATTTTGTTTGACTGTTCCAAATTTTAACATTTCTTTGTTTCAGGTTTGATGTGATCCTGGCTGTTGAAATGTTCAACACCGACAAAATCAAATTTGAGGAAATTCACGATCTCATCGACTATGCTTTGTCAAACGATGGAATTTGGTGAGTTTTTATTTCGTGCTTTGCAAAAAACTTCATTTGCTTCCAAAAGTCTGTGTTTTTATTCAAATATTATATATTTTATAACTGGTTATGCAATGATCAGCCGTCGCTTCATTGTGTCGTATTTTTATGCGTTTTGTGCTGTGTAACAGCAGTACAAAACGCATATTGTTACGGGGTTGTCT